GTACTGACTGCATTATAAAACCTAGTTACATAAAGCCTCTATCTTCCTGGTCATCCCTTGCATCGGCTAATGTGTAAATGAATTCACATTTCCTGGGCACATACTAACTCCGCCATTAGAAAGAAGGCCAGGGCTGGCCAGGGTGGCCTGAGGAAGCTGATTTCAGCTTTGACTCTGGACTTGGACAGTCCATCAAAGTTGATTACCATTTGGCTTGAGTAGAATGGAGAATGGAGTCATTTCCTCTCACTCTTGTCTCTGAGGAAAGGAGAAACAGCTGGCTCCTGGTTGGAACTCCGGCTCACCCAAATTTCAAGTCCAGCACATTCTTGGAGGGGCCTGTCCCGGACCGCTCTCATTCAAAGTGAGCTCCCCGCATCCAAATTGCTAGAGAAATCTCTACACAATTCCATTCATGCAATGAGTCATCACACTGCCCCTCTGCTGTCACCCATCATTCATCACTTCATTATTACTAAAATCTCACAACAGTAGGAATAATAATGGTTAACATTAAAAAACATTTTTTTTTCAATGTTTATTTTTGAGAGACAGAGACAGACAGAGCGTGAACAGGGGAGGGGCAGAAAGGGAGGGAGATACAAAATCCGAAGCAGGCTCCAGGTTCTGAGCTGTCAGCACAGACCCAGATGTGGGGCTTGAACTCACAGACCATGAGGATCATGAATGACCTGAGCCGAAGTCAGATGCTTTATCGACTGAACCACTCAGGCACCCCAATCATGGTTAACGTTTCTTATGTACTGGATCCTGGACTAATGGTGTGTGTAGCATTATCTCAGTCTCCCCAAACCACCATCAGGTTGACGCTATTATTATCCTCATGTTATAAAAGGAAAAACAGAGACCAAGAAAAATGAAGTAACTTGCCCAACGTCACACAGCTAGTCTAAGTCTTGACCCCCAGTCTCTCTGAATCGGGACGCTACTCTCTTAACATGTTCACAAATTCTATCGGACCCACACAGATCTTCTGGGACAAAGACCTCTCACAACTGATTGCAAAGTGGGCTTGAGAATCACTAGTCTCCCCTCCTTCCACATTCTCTTCTCTATGTGCCTACTGTCCTGTTCCCGCACCCTCACATACACCCTCCCCACCGGTCATGCCTCAACCCTGTTGAGTGTATGGACCTATTCTGTGAACAGGTCTTCGAAAAGAGCAAAGAAAAGGAAAATCAAAGCCCAAATGTCTACCTGAATGTAACCAGCGAGTGGCATGCCCATTTTGGCATTTTAATTGCTGAACTAAGGGACGGTGGCATGTATTTTTGTGCAGGCACTTGCAGATGTGGGCACACGTGCCAGGCCAGCTCACTTTACTCAACTTGGGACCAGGTCACACATATGCCCAGGATGTGTTTCACATTCTCAGTCATATAACTCTGAGTGTGATGTGAAAACCCATCTCTATTTTAATCACTATCCTAGAGAAGCCTAGAGAATAGAAGGTCCACAATAGCGGCAACTGAAACTCTGGTTTTTGACAGTTTTGACTTATTCTGGACTCAGGTCATATCTGGACAATCAGTGTCAAACCCCAACTACATGTACTTCTCACCAGCCTGAAAACTGCCCCAAACATAGGGAACTAGACCCAACACTGGAAGGGAGTTTGGGGGAGGGTGTTATGCCTCTCAGAGCGCATGATGAAAGATGGGGTCCCAGGGGCCTCGCGAAAGGAATGCAGAAGGAAACACCAAGACCGCCAGGTTAACCTTCCTTCCAGCCTAAAACCTCTCGGACTCTACAATATGGTACAAAGAACCTAAAGCCCTACCCTCCCAGTGATGATATGTGGAGATGGGGCCTCTGGGAGGTCATCAGGTTCCGATGCGGTCATGAGCGTGGGGTCCTCAAGATGGGATTAGCGGCCTTATAAGAAGAAACACAGAGAGGCTGCTAAATAGGAAGGAGAGGCCTGTAAGGACGCGGTGAGCCGGCGGCCAGGAACTGGACTCTCACCAGGGGCCGAACCTGCTGGCATCTTGACCTGAGACTTCCCAGCTTCCAGAATAGTGAGAAATAAATGTCTATTATTAAACCCCCAGTCTGCGGTATTTGTTATGGCAGCCTGAGCAAACTAATACAGGTGCCTGAGTCAGCCAGGAGTTCAGATCCTGACTCCACCCCTTACACAGCTGGGTGACCTTGGACGAGTCATTTGATTTTTCTTATCCACAATTTTATGGATAAACTATGAGAACAATGGTTGCCTCACAGGGTTGTGGGGACAGTTGAATGGGCCGATGTATGTGAAAGGTGCCCAGAGCTTTTCCTGGAACGTCCATCCCTCACGCGGCCTTTGTGCTAGAACAGCCCCCATCAGCAATGACCTGATGCACGCTGTGGTTCATCTTGCCAATAGGTAGCCTATTGGTCACATTCAGCCCACAGATGTGTTTTGTTTGTCCTGAACTAATGTTTGGGGGAGCTTTGGGTTATTTAATTTTTTTTTTTTTAATTTTTTTTTTTTTCAACGTTTATTTATTTTTGGGACAGAGAGAGACAGGGCATGAACGGGGGAGGGGCAGAGAGAGAGGGAGACACAGAATCGGAAACAGGCTCCAGGCTCCAAGCCATCAGCCCAGAGCCTGACGCGGGGCTCGAACTCACAGACCGCGAGATCGTGACCTGGCTGAAGTCGGACGCTCAACCGACTGCGCCACCCAGGTGCCCCAACTTTGGGTTATTTAATCAACATTTAAAAGCCAGGAAGTTTCATGCAAAAAAAAAAAATCTCAAATTCTGTTTGACAGATAGGTTGACATGCCACCGGCCCTGCGTTCTGCCAGGGCAATCCCCTCTCATCAGAAGGTGACCTCTCACCTCCGTGCACCCAGGCAACCTCACCCATTCAGAACACCCACTTGGCACCTGAAGGCTTCTGAGTTAGCAGCCCCTGGGCTGAAAGGGCTGGTGGAATCGGTGTGGCCGGTACTTTTCCTAGCTGCCCACAAACAAAGAGTTTAAGTACAATTTCAGGATCAGTCTTCCAAAGTGCGGAACAATTAGCACATTCCTGAGTCACTGTTTTATTTATTTTTACTTCCACTGTGAGCTCAAGAACCCTCACAGAGAGGCCAGGATCTTAGTTCTTGGAGTAAAATAGATTTCTTACAGCCCAGAGGTTGGCTGACCTAGCTTTGCCCCTGTCACTCAAGTTTGTGGGGCCTCAGTTTCCTCCTCTGTAAAAGGAGGCCTTGGGCTAGACAAGCTCTATTGTCTCTTCCCTATTTGTGTAATTATTAGGTGGAATTCAAGCTCCTGGGTAGAAATTCAACACACCCTGGTTTATTTCGGAGCCCTAAAGGTTTTAATGAGCTCTTAAAACACCTCACTGACCCTTAAAATAAGACTTAACTAAATGTAAACAGGACTCAGATAATGGCCTTGTTTATTGTTCTGCTCCCTCCAGGGTTGGGGCTTTAGCCTTGATGTTCTGCACTTAACACACCAGCGAGGAAAGAACACGAGGGCATTAAACAGCTGATGTGCAACCTCCTGTCCCCAGGAGGTCCTAGTGCTCTGGGCCCTGCCTGCCTCTCTGCCCTCATTTCACCACGACACAAACCCAACCACCCACCCCCCAGCCTCTGGTATTCTATGCACGTTGGCCTTCTTTTGGCTTCTTGCTCACTGCCACCACAGGGCCTTTGCACCTGCAGTTCCCACCAGCCGGAACCCTCTTCACCTAGTTAATTCCCACTGATCCTCCAGAAGACAGCATCGGCAGGACATCGCCACTCCTTGGCAAGAGCAAGTCACGCTAACATGCTTTCATCACATCAGCTGCATCACAGGAGCTGTCAAAGCGGCTCTTTAACATCTTACTTGTATGATTAGTTGACTAATGATCATCTCCCTGACTGGATATAAATGCCAGAAGAGTGGGGTCCACATCTATCTCTGCTCCAAGTTGTCTCTCCAGTGCCTGGCCAATAAGGAGGCACTCAAATATTTGTTGAACGAGTGAATACATTTATGAAAAGCTGACACTATTCTACTGGGAAGATCCTGGAAGGCAATAAACCCCTCAAGGACCACGTCCTGTTGAGGGCTGTATCTCCAAGACGTAACAGTAATGACAGCGACAACATGGACAGTAATAAGAGCTATCAGTTCTCAGTGTGCTCCAACCCTGTTCTAACAGGTCATTTATAGAATAACTTGATTCAAACCTTCATTAAGAATCCTATGGGGGCACCTGGGTGGCTCAGTCGATTAAGCATCCGACTTCGGCTCAGGTCATGATCTCACAGTCTGTGAGTTCAAGCCCCGCGTCAGGCTCTGTGCTGACAGCTCGGAGCCTGGAGCCTGCTTCGGATTCTGTGTCTCCCTCTCTTTCTGCCCCTCCCCTGCTTATGCTCTGTCTCTCTCTGTCTCAAAAATAAATAAAAACATTAAAAAAAAAAAAGAATCCTATGGAAGGAGGCACGTTTCTCATCCCTGTTTCATGTAAGAGGAAACTGAGGCACACAAAGAAGTTGGTAAGTCACTTGGCCAGAAGTGTTAAGTCACAGACCTCTATCTGTGAAAAGCTAAGTGAGGGGTATAAACCACTTTATACCAAGTGGGTAAGTCACTTGGCCAGGTCTTAACAGAAGTGTTAAGAGTGACAAAATCGCAAGCAGTCTGGTTCCAACCACGAGGCCATCTTACCTACAATGGCACCAAATGGTTAAGGAGGGCACAATACATCTTTACACAGTATGTGATATCTGCCTGTGTATCAACCCTCTGCCCCCCTTACAGATGTTATATACATGAATAAATGGATGAACCATCTATGGATCAGAAGTCTAGACAGGTAAGGGTCTCAGAACTTAATAGCCACATGAGCCACATCAAAGTCAACAGAAGCAACAAGAACCAAGCAGACAAAAACCTTAAGATAGGGCTCCCCGTGGGGGACAGTCCCCCTGCCCCAGCTCAATCCCACCAGGGGAGAATAGTCCGTGACCTGGCCATCCACGTACCTGATGTTTTCGTTCAGTGCATAGAGTTCGTTGCTTTGCAAGCCACCCCCTTTGAAGACGTTGATCACGGCAGTCTGCACACTACAGGGTAAACAGAAATGACCCCTGGTTAGAGGATCTGCCTGCCTGGGGCAAACTCAACAAGCAGCTCTGAGCTAGAGGCAGGTGTAAGGGCCAGGAAGCACATGGCACAAAAATGGCCCACTGTCCATCCCTGGAAACCATCATTTCCTTCCCAGGGTCCTTGGAGAGAAACAAAGACCGAGGCCAAAAGGATCCAAAAGCAGCTCCTCTCCCTCCACTCTCTCAAAAGCCAGCAGGTCCTCCTCGCTTGCCTCGCTGGTGGCCCTGATGGCAAACAGCACTGATCGAGGGCAGGTGGTGGGATCTGCTCTCAGGATCTGCGCCTGGAGGAATCCAAAATGGCGCTTGCCTCCCTCTCTCTGACCCTCCCTGGTTCATGCTCTGTCTCTCTCTGTCTCAAAAATAAATAAAACGTTAAAAAAAAAATTAAAAAAAAAAAAACAAAATGGCGCTTGCTACAAGCAGGAGCCAACTGGGTTCCTTCACCTAGAAGGTCCTTGTCCTCACAAGGCAGCCTCCATGCCTGGGGCTGATATGAAATGCTAATTCCTTGCCTTTAAACAGTTTTTCTTTGGAAGAGTTTCACCGAGGCCAGCCTCTCTTGCCCCTTCCATTCCCCCTCCTGAGGGGGTTAGTCCCTCGAGGAGCCACAGTTAAGTCTTAACTCTAGGTGCCCTGAGGCTCCAGCCCGGTATTTCAGCAAGGAGCAGATTACAATCTTGTCTTTATCAAGGATCCAAAGCCTTTTTTAAAGAACATGGATCCATCCATAGCAGAACGTTTCACAGCCCCCTCTTCTTCCCCGTCAGAAGAGGTGTGCATTCACTGAGAAATGAATGCTTTAATATAGTGATGCGTTTAATTCATCCAAAGAGTAACTGCTAGATTTGAAAAGTAGTAGCCCACAGGAACACAAGACACGGTGCTGATTCAGTCGCTACTCGATGCTTGGTGTACAAAAAGTCAGCCAGACACCCATAAAAGCGCAGTGTCTCCTTTCCCATCCACCTGTGGCTCACAGGTACGGCTAGTCCTTGGTTTATACCCCTCACTTAGCTTTTCACAGATACACGTCTTATCTTCCCAAACAGGTTATAGGTGACTTATGTGGCCCCAGCCCTGGGTACTCGAACAGTCTTGGGCGTGACTAAAGAGCATGAACTGTCACTGTAAATTCCAACCCAACTGTCCCGGGCTGGCTAACAGACTCTGGTAGCCCGGAGGCCCCCAGTGGCCCACCTCATCTCCACCCAAACAAGGAAGGCCAGCGGATACGGTCTCCGCAGGAAAACGTGCCTGTATACATAATGCCGACCTTCTGAAGCAGGGCTCTCAGGAGGAGCAGACGCTAAGCCAGTCCCCTGGCCCTCCACCCCAGGACTACCGGCCCCCGGTTACCTGTTCCAGGCCGAGCTGGAGCTCAGCTGCAGGGCCTGCCGCGTGGCTTGGAAGCGGGGCAGATCGCTGAGCACCGGGGAGCTCATGAAGCGTGGCCGGGGCCTGCGGAAGGAGCCCATCTCGTGGAACGCAGTGGGCACACTGGGCGCGAAGCCACGGGTCATAAGTCCGGAGGAGGGGATGGCTTCTCCTCTGCACCACAAGGTTCCAACAGCCCACGCACGGGCAGGGGCTTCTTCCGGGGCTGCCTTCCGGCCCTCAGGCTTTCTTAAAACCACAAACTTAGCCCACACCTGAAAAGAGAGGGAAGCTTTTATTGAAAACTCCCGCGTCGGGCAGAACATTTCTTAGACGAGGTTGGCTGGGATTTTCCGGCCGCGCTATGTTAAAAACAACTCCAGTGTCCTGAAATAACATCTATACCCTACACGCTCCCACTCATGCATTTATACGGGGCTCCGTCTGGTTACCCCAAAGTGGGAAGGCAGCAACAATGGGAACAGGTTGAGTCAATCCTACAGAAAAGTGATTTCTAAGTTGTGCTTGAATGTGGTTCTAAATGCCTACAAATGCCAAAGCACGGGCACTGGCTGGGTTTCTGTAGACCCTGCAACATTGCGCATTAAAGAGACGGCTTTTTCAAAAATGCCTGGGGGCGCCTGGGTGGCTCAGTCGGTTGAGCATCCGACTTTGGCTCAGGTCATGATCTTGTGGTTTGTGAGTCTGAGCCCCGCGTCAGGCTCTGTGCTGACAGCTTGCCCAGAGCCTGGAGCCTGCTCCGGATTCTGTCTCCCTTTCTCTCTGCGCCTGCCCCACTCACACTCTGTCTCTGTCTCTCTCAAAAATAAATAAGCATAAAAAAAAAAAAAGTGCCTCAAGGAGAACACAAAAACTCCTTCTCTTGGCACTAAAGACCTTCCATGATATGCCCTTGGCATGCCAGCCCATGTGTATTGCTCAGTATTTTCCAAAGTATCAATGCCTCCTCACTCAGGCACATCTCACCATCCCTTACCTGCCATTCATTCATTCATTCTGTAAGAGCATATTTACTGAGTGTTCATTATTTATTAACCACTGGGAGCTGTAAAGCATCCAAAGATTTCTAAGACGTGATCCCTGCCCTCAAGAGGCTCAAGGTCTATTGAGAAAACAGCTATCTGTGTATTCACACACACAATCAATATTTATTTTCTTTCCTGATTTTATTTTTTAATAACTTTTAATTCTAGTTAATTAACTTATAGCATTGTATTGGATTCAGGTGTACAACACAGTGATTTAATATTTCCATACAACACCCGGTACTCATCATGGGAAGTGTATACTTTTTTTTTTAAATTTGTTTATCTTGGAGGGGGGAGGGGCAGAGAGAGAATTCCAAGCAGGCTCTGTACCATCAGCATGGAGCCCGATGTGGGGCTCGAACTCACATCATGACCTGAGTGGAAATCAAGAATAGGACGATCCACTGACTGAGCCACACAGGCACCCCAGTAAGTGCACTCTTAATCCCCAACACCTACTTCACCCACCTCCCGTCTGGTAACCATCAGTTTGTTCTCTGTAGTGAAGGGTCTGTTTCTTGATTTGCTTCCCTCTTTTTTTTCCTTTGCTCGTTTGTTTTCTTAAATTCCATATAGGTGAAGTCATACGGTATTTGTCCTTCTCTGACTTACTTCACTTAGCATGATACTCTCTAGCTCCATCCATGTCATTGCAAATGGCAAGATCTTGTCCTTTTTATGGCTGAATAATAGTTCATTGTATATATGTATACACCATATCTGCTTTATCCATTCATCAGTCGACGGACACTTGGGGTGTTTCCATAGTTTGGCTATTGTGAATAATGCGGCTATCAACATGCGGGTGCATGTATCCCTTTGACTTAGTGTTTTTGTATTTCTTGTGTAATTACCTGGTAGTGCAACTGCTGGATTGTAGGGCAGTTCGATTTTTAAGCAATCAATATTTATTGACCACACCCTATGCAACAGCCACTCACTTACGTATCCGGGATATAATGGTGGCTCTGGACAACGTGGTGGCTGCCCTGTGGAGCTTACAAACCGGTAGGCATGGTTCCAGCCTATGCTTCCTCCCTCTCCCCACCTTCTGACTATATTTACTGCTTCCCTTCCCCGGAATTCCCTTCCTTTTCCTTCCCCTATGCTTATCTAAATCTACCCTACCTTGCAGAACTAGGTTCAAGGATACTGTCCCCTGAGCAGTTCCTAGGACTTAATGACTTTGTGGCTAATGGCGATGGCTTTGGAGTGAACCCGGGTTCGGGTCTTAACGGGGCCCCTCCCCAGCTGTGTGACCTGGGCACACTGAGTCCAAGAGTCCACAGCTGTTAGCAGTGCCAACTGCACAGGACCGATGAGAGACGACATGAGATGGTGTGATGTGTGCCCAGCAGAATGGCAGACCCAAGACCCTCGAGCGTGGTCCTGTTTCTGCTGGAGCCCAAAGCTTGCTTTCCTCAGAGCCTCTGTTCCTTTCATTTCAGTCTCTGATTCTCCAGTGAACCTAAAGTCTAAATCACTGAGTTAAAATGAGTTTGGGAGCCGGTCGGAGTAAAGGACAGAGGAAATGGCACCAAGGTTAGAGTCACTTTTTTCTCGAGGGGTTAGGGTTGAGCCCGGACGTATTCTCAAGGCCACCTCTCCCACCAGCTAATGCTGCTGTTTCCCACGAACCAGTGCTGGAAGAAAAAGACGGATCCCAGCCATACATGTCAGTCTCCAGGCGGAGAGGGGAGTACATTCTGCAATCCCAGCTACAGCATCTGAAGAAGCAGGAACCAAGGGGCTGCCCCCAGTTAAACACGCTGCTCCCGTCAGCAGAGGACTGAGGCTTGGGGACGGGCACCCAGGTGATCCATCAAGAAAGCATGGGAGGTGCCAGATGCTGTCTGCAGACAGCGGGCACGCTGGCAATGAACTGGCAAGACCAAGAGCCAAAAAAGGAATGGCGTGGACTACCTCTTGGAAAAAAATTTTTTAAACGAAAGCAGGCTCATGTACCATTTCCTTTTCGAGTGATCTGCCCCTCCACCTGCTTCTTAGGGTGAACCAACAGTGACAAATTTATCGGTAAGTACCACAGAAGTCAAAACAGGCCTGCTCCATTTCAGAGAGTCTCAATGGCTACGCAAGAGCCACTAGAATTTGGAAAGATCTATGCAAATCAGTGAATGAGGCAAAGAAGAAATAAAACCATGGGGCCCCTTCAGAATCCTTACCCCGGATGGCTTTGGGATTTAACTTGCCTGGTAAAGGTCATACTATTAAAAGAGGACCCATTTTGCTGCCCTTCTTTAAATGGGCCTGCTAAGTGCAATACATCTGCGTAATTACAGGATATTAACTCCATTTACGAGGACCTTAGACTCGAGGTGAAGGAGCCGCCTCCCACTCAGAGGCACTCGTGCAGGGAAGTGGAAAGGTGAGCTGAATGGATCATCCAGGTGTTTACTTCCCGGCTTCCCGCTGCAACAGCCACTTCTCCAGGAGGCTGTGCGACACTGAGGACCATGGGGCCGGCTCCCATCCCCCTCTGCCGCTCAGCCAGCAGCCCCCAGGCTCCCCACTGCAAGCCGGGCTGCGTATCCAGCAAGGCACACAGACGGGCAGCCCCACTGGCCTGCGTCCCCTTTTAAATGAGGATAATTTTCAGCAAAAGAACAACGAGCGCGGCTCCCATGACCTTGTCCCTGGGTGTAGAGTCACACACGACAAGCAGGTAGGTGCCTCTGACTCATTTCTCACCCATACCATCTGCCACCCTCAGACCCTGACTGGCTGAAGACCATCGGAAGTCGCCTTTGTTTCCACCATTCCTGCTTCCGGACAGAGCCACGAGGCCCCCCCAGGGCCCTGCCAAGAGGGGCTGCCAGCAATGCTGGTGGGATGACAGGAGCGGCCTCAAGGTCAAAGCCAGTGCGCCCTGGATCCACCGGCTATCACGCTGGCCCCTCAGGCACAGGCATGTCCTGACCCAAATAGGACAAGTCAGAAAATGACAAGACAGGCGGGGCCCCCGTTTACAGACGACAAAAGTGAAGCCCAGAGGAGCTTGGCCAGTGTCTCTGAGGTCGGAGAGCCAGCACTGGCCAGAACTCAGGTTCCCTGACTCCCGATCTAGAAAGTTCCCCAGGCCCCACCTGGGCCATTCTGCAAACTCCTCAAAGAGAGGGCCCAGCGCTTACTCGTCTCTATCCCCAGGCCTAAGCTCACTGCTTAAGATACAGACCAAGGAAGGACGGGAACGAATAAGGAATCAACTGCCTGCCTGTCGTGGTGCCAGGTACTGTCACAGCCAGTGACTGCCTCAGGGATGTGTGAGGATAAAACGTGTGAGGATAAAAAATGTGTGAGGATAAAAAATGTGTGAGTACCTATTTGTAAAGCACTTAGATAGGACGGTGCACGGCAAATAGCAAGTGCTAGGTAAGTGCTTGTGAAATAAATTAAATACTTTGTTATTTCTAAATCTCCAAGCAATGACAGCAGTTGAAATACAAGAACACGTCCCCCCTGCTTCTGGCGACCTCAGCAACATCTGGAAAATACTCCGCTCGGGAGGATGCGAGGCCTCCAAGCTGCCATTGTGGTCACAGAGTACTGAGGCCTTGCCTCCTCAGGCCTTGGGTAACTCACTTATTTACTGACCCTTCACCTCTGTGTGGACATCCCTCAGTCTCAGAGTGTTTCCACACAGCCCCATACTTGTAAATCTTAACCTAACCCTACAAGGCAGGTTGAGTAGGGATTCCATAGGTCCGGAACTCTAAGGATACGTGATATGGCCATGGCTGGAAGGCTATGTGGTCAGGGAACCAGATCCCACCCAAAGTCTCCCAACCGCAAGCCTGCCCTGCCAGGAAATTCTTCTTTTTTCCCTATACATTTTAAAATATTTTCATTAAGTAACATATGTAAAAAAGAGTTCATAGACACATACAAACACATGTATCTTAGGGGCACCTGGGTGGCTCAGTTAGTTGAGGATCTCAGGTGATCTCAGCTCAGGTCTTGATCTCAGGGTCATGAGTTCAAGCCCCGTGTGGGGCTGCCCGCTGGGCAAGAAGCCTAATTAAAAAAGAAAAAATCAATTGCATGTATCGTAAACAATAATACACTACCACCTGCTTAAG